GCTGAGCCTTCTTCATGATAGAGTCAGTGTTCACAGTCCAGGTTAGATCTTTAGAGATGTGAATTCCCAAAAACCTAAAGCTGGTGACTGTTTCCACTTCCACACCATCAATACTGAGTGGGCTGTGAGTGTGTGGCCTGTGTCTCCGAAAGTGCAAGCTTATGATGCACCCGCAAATCCCAGTGATTTGTTGTCACCTGAAGGAAACTAATTGCACATGACAGGGCTGGCTGCTGCAATCACCTCTTAACCTCAATCACACTGGAGCAGGCAGTTATAATCTCTTCCAATATCTCCTTCCTGACTTACTAAACACAGCAACACACCCCTTTTCTCTCAAGTGCTGCAGAAATGCTTTGCAAGGAGAGATTATCAGCCTACTGCTCCCTTTATCTTCATAATTCAGTTTTTTGGGGGAATCAAAGTGCGTCTTTGCCACAGTACAAAATAAGTTAGTAGGGTTACACCATAGCACTGGACTATCCAGCATACTGTATATAGTTCAATAAAATTACAAGAACAAATAATATGTTTCAGTGTTGATCCTGAAGAATGGTATAGAGGACTCTCTATGAAAAGTAACAACAAGTGGATTTAGGATCAAGAACAGAAGGTATAGCTTTATTCAAGGGGTTTCAGGAGCCTGAAACATATTGCCAGACAGGTAGCAGAATCAAGATTATAACCTGGGATCCTTCAAGAACACAGCTAAACAATATCAGATCAATTAACTACAAGAAACCAAATGAGCAAGTTGGATCTTAGAACCATCTCATTTGCAACATTTTTATGTTCTTATCATCATCCTCATCACCATTCATATATTTGGATCCTGACATTTGTATTTAATCATATAAATTATGATGCACTTAAACGGATGACTAACCTAAACAAATTAAATTTGATGCTCAAACAGAAGAAAAAGCCAAGTATAAAAAAAACATGAAAAGATTTAAACTAGGTATCAGATCTGATATGAATGAAAGAATTCTACAGTCAAGAAGCAATAGAGTGTACTGCCCTGAGCTGTGTCCAGAAGGAACATTAGAGCACAGACAACACAGACAGCATGGAAATGTACAAAGCAATAGAAAGTTACTGATGTAATCTGAAGCTAATACAGTTAAGGCCTTAAAAATAATCAGCAGTACGTCCTACGAGGGAACTGAACCTGTGGGACCTTTGGTAACCAACTGTATTAAGGAAAACTAGTGTTACAGTAACTTGAATTAATGGTTTCCTATCGGTTAGGGAAAATGGAAACTACAAGAACAATTCCAACAGCACTGGAAACCATCTCTAGTCTATTTAGTAAGAAGACACGATCAACTGGATCAACAGCAGCACTGAATAAAGTCCAACAGAACACAAATATACAGAGAGAGAATCAACACTAATAGATAAATCACTAGCAAACCTAATGAGCGTTTTCTATACTAGCCACATATCTGAAACCATACAGAAATAGTTTCTGTAGCTTCTTTGCAGACTGCTGATGATTTTCTAAGCAAAGGCACACTGCATGTTCCTGAACCTTTGCTGAAAATGGTACATTTAGACATGGGCCAATTATTACTGAGCAGGCTGGACACAAAAGTCTGCTTTTTAAACAAAGGAGTAATATAAGCTAATTAAAAAACAAAAAGAATTGTTTCAAAACTTAATGAATTTTTTTAAGACCCACTACAAGGGATACCATTTTACATGCGACACGTTAAATGTCATCACTGTTCAACGGCACATTCAAGCTACAGAAGGCAGATGACATCATTTAAAAGCAATAAAGTAGCAGAATCCTTAGCCAGTGAAAATGTGGTGTGCTTCCTCTGAGCAGCCACTTCAGATATCTCTATCATGCTTTTGCTGTTAACACAAAACACAGTAACAATCATGTAATGCAGTTTAGGATGGATTTTCCCACAGTACTCCAGAATATAAAGATCCAGTGCAACAGAGACTCTGGTTCTCGGCATCACAGGTTAATGTTCCTCCTTCCAACACAGACACAATACACAATGAATTACAACCAGGCTCCAGTAATACACAGCCAATGAGCAATGATCTTTCCGATACTTATAGGGGTGTCAGATGTGAGAACAGCTTGGTCTTTCAGGCTTACTCTACATCATGAAGCAGTGTTTCACACCTGATCCTTGGGAAACATCAGTCAGTGCTTTCTGTCCTAGCCACTCCCTTTGCTTATTGTCCACACTGGACCTTGGTGAGTAATTAGTGAGTAATTAATGAGTAATTGTGTATCTGGTGTATACAGGTACATAGTAAATGGTTAACATACTGTATGAAGGTATGCTTCAGTTTTAACAATCCCTTCCTATCATCATTTTCCTCATCAGATCTGAGGAAATAAAGTCAGGTAGTCTGAAAGAAGGACATTAGCATGCTAGCCTGTAACAGGACTTTGTTTTGGATTGTGCTCATGTGTTAAGATATTGCTTTGCTCAAAGAGGGCTTGGATGCACGACTCCCTGGTAACTAGTTCAGAACCCTTTTTGGGGGCCTTTGGAAACATTTTGGAAAAGGGCCCCTGCATATTCACTACTAATAATACCACTAAGAATAACTCCATAATAATATTTAGAACAATGAAATAAATGAATTAGGTTGGGTTTACAAAAAACACCTTTTAATTAAACACAGGAGAAACTGCAAGGAAAATCAATGCGTTTTAAAGCCGATTATGTATAACTGCTGAACAGTCACTTCTACAGTCACTTGATCTTAAGCCGGGTGACCCAGGCGGCACGTGTACAGACGTGCTAACATCTAGTAAAACACCTCCAGCAGGCTGTGTCTAGCCTGAAAACGTGGCTTAACTACCAGTTACATGGATCGGACAGACTCAGAAGCCAATGAAATACAAATGCGTTATTACAAATTGGCACACCTCTGTTACAAGATTGCCTATCCGGTTCTTCGTTTCTGCGCTTCAGAAGCATTACGTTCTTGATCATGATTGGTCAGTTTTTGGGCTTTCACTAGGATCGTCCACCGCAGCAACAGAAGAAGACGTTACAATACATTTTTCACTCACATTTGAACGTGGCGATTAAGAAAAGGGGTGTGCATCGAGGGGGCCCCATGGTGGCCCCTGGGGCCCAAGGGAGTCACCTAGTTTGCCTTTGCCAGGAGCCGGCCCTGGGTGTAAGCAGCAATAAAGGGTCCCTCACTAACATATCAACTACTGGAGCAAGCTCTTTACCCACCTGCTGAAATGGGCTGTAGCAACACTTCAGCAGTCGGATTTAGTTATTGAAATCCTTTGGAAAATATGAAATAATGAAATGATCAGCTTAAGCACAAAGCTAAAGGCACGTAAATCCTTATCTCTGTCAAGGCAGCTTAAAACATCAGGCTTGGTCCAACTGACCACTCTCCCAGTTCTAGGGAAGATTTAGTTTTCTGCACATAGGTGTTACGGATTTGGTAAGAGAAACCGAAACCAGTGAATGAACCCACTTGCAGGAGTAGATAAAGCCTAGCCGTGATCCAAAGAAAGCCGTAGTCGAAGAAACGAGCCGAGAGTCCAGGGGAAGCCAGAGTTCCAAAAGGGAACGAGTTACCGAAGCCAAAGCGTGATCCGAAACCGTAGACAATGGAACAATCCGATAGTCCAGGGGAAGCCAGAGATCCAAAAGGGAACGAATTACCGAAAACTAAAGCGTGATCCGAAACGGTAGACAATAGAACAATCCGATAGTCCAGGGGAAGCCAGAGATCCAAAACAGAGAGTGAGCACTGAAGCCAAGCCGTGATCCGAAAAACCGTCGTCAAAAGGGGAAAAAAACGTAAACCGAAAACCAAGAAGGACACAAGGCAGAAGAAGGAGTAGCGCAACTAGGAAGCTCGAAAGGAAAACCAATACTGAGCGAGGAGGTAGGAAAAGACTGGTGTTTAAGTATAGGATGAGACGGGGGTGTGGTGGTGAATAAGAAAACTGATAGGTAAACTGATGGAGTAAGGCTACTCCTCCTTCTGCCTGTTCCGTAGCCGGGAGGCAGGGATCTTAACAATATGTCCTCCAGGCCTTTGCTATTCAATGAGAGGATCTGCTTCAGTGTATTTAAACCTAAGGTTAAAAAGAAAAACATTTTCATAAAGGCTATTGTGTGATTGTTCCACCTTCTACATCCGCATTATTTCTATCCGTTTTTGTAACTGCCTTGCATTTTATTTGGGGTTGTGCGTTTTCCACGTATTGTAAAGCTCTTTGAAGCGATAGATTTTACACATCCATTGTGAAGAGTGCTATAACAGGTGGACTCACCCAGATCTGCAGCTTGACCCTCTTGTCATTGCGGTACACAGTCTTGACCTTGAAGTCAATGCCCACGGTGCTGACGAAGGAACCGCTGGAAGAGTCGTTGGCGTAGTGGAACAGGAAGCTGATCAGCAGTTTGAACATGTAGTCAAAATTCTGGTCCTATCAAACTTCTGATACTGGAGTCTTTTACAGTCACTTAGAATAAACAGTGTAATACACTTAGGACCACATACAGCGACAGAGTTGGGTCTTGGGCAGCAGCTTCGCGATGATTGCTTTAACCACTAAACAGCCTTGTTTCCCAGCTGATGCAATCATAGTATCGTAATATTAAGTGTAAATTACAATGGATTTACATCTGAATAGATTGTAAAGACCCATAATGCTTTTATTGTGTGTGCCCTTTAAGGCAAAGTTTAATTCTGGTAAATTTGTTCTTGCAACTTCTCAAGTCTATATTTGTTAAAGTAGTCAAGATATATAAGGGCTCATTCAAAGCCTTATTTTAACCATTATTAATGAGTTTACTAATTTATGTAGAATTAACCTGGTAGAGGAGGTATTTGTACATCTGTTTGCTAAACACGTTGTTTGTCTGCCTTTTGTGACAGAGATGCACATCATGAAGTGGGTAACTAAACTGTATGGCAAGAACTAATTACGTCAAAGAATCAGACACTAGGAGATTTATAGGCCATGCGCTGCCAAGCAAGCAATCTTCCAACATTTATGGTCACACACCAGTCCATCAGCTTGGAACAATAGTACATAAACAAAAATACTGTGCAATCAGGCATTGAGCCATCTTTAATACTTTTAAAAGCCTTTACTTCTAGGACAATGTTGCAAAAGAACAATATGGCTCTGTGGAAACCACTGTTTCTGAGTTTTTTTCAAAGTAAAACCGGTTATTTTATTATGTTTTTTCCTTAATTTGCATGACATTGTGAGAAAAACTGAACACACAAATATTTGATGAGCTTGGCCTGTAGGAAGGGCTGTTTCACTGTCTGTTTTTTTCAAAAATTGCTCCACAAAACTTTGCTTTTTGTATGTCCAGCATAGAGATCTGCTTGAAATAGCATGCTGAATCATAGAGAAGACAAAAGTACAATGTGCTTTGGCTTTTTCTCAGTTACTGTCACTGCTCAGTGGTAATTATTTTCCAGCTCAAGCAGAGCATGATCAGCTGAACTCCTGTTAAGTTACCATTTGTAAAAACAATAATCTTTTCACGACAGCATTAGTGTAAATTAATAGCACTTGTAATGAGGTGGCTTTCAAAGGTGCTACTCTTTGGGACCTCTGCAGTTCCTTTCTTTCTCCACACCGTCACCTTCCTTTTCCTATGGCAAAGGTTTATGTGGGTCTCATCTGTCCTCAAAAACTTGACTACAACTCGTCTGGGTCATCTTTGTACTTCCAAGCAATTTCTGACCTGTCTTCGGTTCTTGGTGTAAATGAAAGGAGCCTTTGTAATTCCGCTGTCTCAAGGTCCTACAAATTGTCGATTGGCGGTTGGGATATCGTCACCTCTGCACGCTGGAGGATTATGATGATGATAGCACTGACAATTGTTTTAGGGCTTGTTGTGGGAATGTTTTGGCCATAAACTGCAGATGTTTAGATTCCATAGTAGTTCGGGTTTTCAATTCCAGTTTGGTTGAGCTCAACCTGGCCTGTCTAAATTTCCCACTTCACAGGTAAAGCCATATTTCACTCATCTAAATTGTACTGGAGTTGTACATTTGATTTAAAACTTGAATTCTCAAACTGAAGACTTTTAAGGGTGAGATAGGTTACAGTAAACAGAAAAATATAATGAAAAATATTGATACTGTTAGACATGCGAACTCAATATTTGTTGGATATGCCCCTTCCAGCATTTTACACTAGCTGGGTGTAAGATTTGCTCAAGATCTCAGATTGCATGGAAATCATGTATGGACAGCAGTTTTCAAATCTTTCCACAAGGTCCCAATCAATTCAGAACTTTAACTGGGCCACATAAGAAAACTCACTTTCTCATTCTTAAACCACTCCAGTGATTTGTATCTTTTCCCTCTTGAAAGATGAATTTTTAAATAGGTTTTAAGTCTGAAGCAGGATTTCCTTAAAATGTACTGATACTTTCCTCTCGCTATCATCCCAACAGTCGAGACAAGCTCCCTGTCCTTGTCGATGAGGAGCAGGACTATAATACAATGCTGTCACAAACCAGGTTTGATAGCTGCGATGATGCTGACTGAGTGCTGTACTATGTAGGTTCTGTGTCAGATGCAATACATTGTGTTTAGAAAAAGTTCCAGTTTTGTCTCATCTGACCACAAAACATTTTGATTTTTGTTTGCAGTACCACTACACTCCTTTATTGCAAAACCCATGTAGGATTTGAGAAGAGTTTCCATTCTACCATACTGTAGAGTGACAGATTGTGTTGATTGATGCTCATTTTCTCCCAAGTAACTGAACTCTGTAGCTCTTTCCAAGTTGCTGTTGGCCTGACAGTTGTCCCCTTAATCAGTTTCCTCCTCGTGCAGCTGCTCAGTAAGAAGGGACAGCCTGATCTAGGCAGTGTGTGGGTGGTGCGATACACATTTCACTTCTTAATGATCGACTTCACCGAGTTCAAAGTGATAGCCAGTGTTTTTTTTATCTTTCTTATGCCTTTATCCCCATTTGTGCTTTTCTCCAATTTTATTCTGAGCTGCTTTGAAAACTCCTTAGACCTCATGGTTCAATTTTTGCTTGAAATTCACTACCTGGCTGAAAGAACTTAACAGAAACAGGTGCATTTATTGCACAATCCTATGAACCACTATCTCACAAGGGGTCCTTAACTAATTGTGTGGCTTGTTCGTGTTAATTTTGAGCACCCTCAATTAATTTTGGCTTACCACATGAAAGTGTTTGTATACTTATGCAATTATGATTTTCCCATTTTTCTTTCATACTGTATTATCCATTTACTTCTTTCTTTCTTGTGTGGAGTATATTACAGCATGTGGATAGAACAAGTGATAAATGCTACCTCAAAGACTGCCAGCTTTAAAGCACCAAACTGTTTTGCCCTTTATGTTTAAGGATGTTTGAAAACTCAATGTAGTTTACATTAAGAAAACACCAGTAAGACATGGCTTGTGGGCTTCCACAACTGGACCTGTGAACCACTGCAATAGAGTAGGCTTCCACACAACTTGATGCCTTTAACCAGGGATGGGCACCTCATGTTCTCCCTAGGGTCTGAGGGTCTTCTTGGATTCACCTTTGATCTGTGTTTCTGAACTGAACTGAACAGTCATTTGACTGAAAGATACTCTACCTGTCCCAGCTCCAGGAGCTCAGCCCGCCAGGCCTGGGACTGCCCTTCCCTGTCTTTACTCATAGTCAGCCCTGGGCAAGTAAAAAGCGAGCTGAGCAGGCTACGTGACACACAAACAATGAAGGGTGAAGGGTGAATGCAAGAAGAAACCAGAGTTGGCAGCTCTGCATGTGACACTACACTAGTGATACTCACTCCTGGTCTGCAACCCTCCAGGCTTTATATGCAATGTATAATGCCGGTCAAAGAAGATAAACACTGGGAATCTGTGGTAAACAGTTAATCCGGGACCACTCAAGTCCACAATGGTTTCCGTCCAAGTCAGGAGGAGTCCACAGAAGAATGAAAACCGGTAGACACAACAGCAATCTTGGGCCTGATGTGAATATGAGCATTATTTACCAGTAACAAGAGACCACTGTGGAAGAGATGTAGGGATTCTGAACTCCATGTCATTCCTGTCCTGCTGCATAACTGCGTTTCCAGGTCATTTTTGTGAGAATTTGTTCCCAATTGATTTATCTGGTTAAATGAAGACTCACACATGATTGTTGTACAACTGTACAACACTCTACGCTCAAAGCATCACTGACTCTTTCAGCACCACTTCAAGGAATCCGGCTCACTCTTACATATCCAGGTGTCTTTCACCCTAGTCCAGGAGAACTTCCAATTTACTACGTCCCTTTAATCCAAAGATTTTGTACAATAAAAAGATATTGATCAATCACACTCTATATTACTGGATATTGTTACAGACCGCATAACAACTCACCCATATGGTTGTAACTGGATTCTGATTAAAATAATGTCTTTACATTCCTAAAAATGTGTTATGTACTCATACTTTAAAAGAAAAGAAATGAAAGGTTAATACCTTGTTATGAGCTTTTTTTCTGTCTTGATCCTAGATTATTGAGAATTGAATGTCTGACAATTTGTTTACATTAGAGGGTCAATAAAGATGATAGACCATCGACTATTTGATTTGTATTATCTATACACTAAACCCTGCAGAATATAGCCATTAATTATCAGGACCTCCAATATTATTTATTACCTCGCTCCGGCCGTCTTTCATAATTTTATGAACGACATCTTCAGGGACATCATTCAACAGTATGCACTTGTCTACTTGGATGATATATTAATTTTTTCCATTAGCCTTCAGGAGCATGTTATTCACGTCAGGGAGAACAGTCTCTATGCCAAACTGGAAAAGTGTTCTTTTCATGTTTCCACTGTCCAATTTCTAGGTTATGTCATCTCTCCCCTGGGCATCGAGATGGACCCCTCCAAGACGGCCATTAGGGACTGGCCAACCCCCCGGAACTTGAGGCAGGTTCAGCGCTTTCTTGTATTCTCTAACTTCTATCGTCTTTTCATTCGTGATTTCAGCTCCATTGCCACTCCCATCTCTGCCCTCACTCGTAAGGGTCCGACTCGGGGCAAGTGGACCGATGAGGCTGATCGTGCCTTTTTACGCCTGAAACACCTCTTCACGTCAGCTCCCCTCCTTCGTCACCCTGATCCCTCGCTGCCCTTCGTTCTGGCGGTCGATGCATCGGCGCATGGCGTTGGAGTAGTTATGTCGCAGCGCTCTGGGGACAATTAATCTCTCCATCCCTGTGCCTTCTTTTCCAGGCGTCTCTCCCCTGCGGAGGTAAACAATGCTGTGGGAGATAGAGAGCTCTTGGCCATCAAGCTCGCCCTGGAAGAATGGAGGCACTGGCTGGAGGGAGCCCAACATCCGTTCACCATTCTCACGGACCATAAGAACCTTTCCTATCTCCACTCTGCTCGGCGCCTCAATTCTCGCCAGGCCAGATGGTATTTTTGCCTTTTTCATCACATACACCCCCGGCTCTAAGAATATTAAGGCGGATGCCCTCTCCCGTTTGTTTGATCCACCGTAGCTCGAACTCCCTCCCGAACCCATCATACCCCTCATCAGATAATTGCCCTCAAGGAACAGCCTGTACCTCCCTCATGCCCCTCGGATAAGCTGTTTGTGACTGATCGGGTCCATTCCGAGGTTCTCCAGTGGGCTCGTGACTCTCGTTTTGCGGGTCATCCTGGCGCCCGCCAGACTTTGGAACTTCTCTCTGAGGACTTCTGGTGGCCCTCCTTACGGGCTGATGTTTCGGATTACGTGAAAGCCTGTCCCACCTGCGCTCGGATCAAGACACCCCGTCACCGGAAGGCTGGCTTACTCCAACCTCTTCCAGTACCCACGCGGCCTTGGTCCCATATTGCTGTGGATTTCCTCACGTACCTTCCCAGGAGTCTTGGCAACACAGTGATTCTGGTCGTCATCGACAGGTTTTCCAAGGCTGCTCATTTCGTTCCCTGCTCCTCCCTGTCCTCTGCTCAACAAATGGCCAATCTCTTTGTACAGCACGTTTTTCGTCTCCACGGGATTCCAGAGGACATCATCTCTGATTGGGGTCCACAGTTTATCTCCCGCTTCTGGAAGGCTCTGGAATGTTCTGCTTTGGGCTCCAACGTTTCTCTTACTTCTGGCTATCATCCAGAATCCAATGGTCAGACCGAAAGGCTTAACCAGTACCTCCTTACTTACCTGCGGGCTTACGTCTCAGCCACTCAGGACGACTGGTCCTCTTTACTCCCATGGGCTGAGTACGCTCACAACACTCTATACTCTTCGGCTACTGCCATGTTTCCCTTTCTATGCTCCCTGGGTTATCAACCTTCACTCCTTCGGAAACCCCCTTCGGACTCGGACCTTCCCTCTGTTCAAATATATATCTCTGCCTTAAGGAAACTCTGTAAGACTGCTCGCCGCACCCTCCTAAAGGCCTCATACCGTTATAAATCTTTCGTGGATCGGCACAGACACCCTTTTCCTCTACTTCGCAGTAGGCAATTTGTCTGGCTCTCCACCCGCAACATCTCTCTCCATCAACCCTCCCGCAAGTTGGGCCCGCGATTTATTGGTCCCTTCTGGGCCATTTCTCAGATCACTCCTGTCACTTACCGCTTGGCTCTCCCCCCACTCTTCGCATTCACCCCACCTTTCATGTCTCCCTTCTCAAACCTTACCACAGGTCACCCCTCTCCAGACCACAACCTCTTCCGCCTCCACCTCGTTCCATCACCGGATCCACCACCTATACAGTCAGTAAGCTCCTCAAATGTCGTTGGCATAGGGGCTTGAGACAGTTTTTGGTCGACTGGCTCGGTTATGTTCCTGAGGAAAGAACCTGGGTCTCTGCACGGGACATCCTGGATAAGACCCTTATCTCGGACTTTCTTCACTCCCGTGCTCCTCCTCTACCTACGGCGTCGGGAGCCACACCTGAAGGGGGGGTTACTGTCAAAAATCTCCCTCACGCAGGCAAGTGCTCCCGCATTCCCACGAGCTCTCCCCGTACCAAACGTGCACGCATGAATCAGTCCTCTACTTAAACCCTCATCTGTCCCCCGTTCATTGCTCACGATTGAGATTCTCTCCCGGAGCTACCCTACAAACTACGCCTTTGCCTTACGACGACTTCTCCCCTGGACCTCGACCCTGCTTTTCCAACTACCGCTTTTGCCGCTTGATTTAGTACCTTCGCCTGTTTTACGTTCTCTCGGATCCTGACCCCAGCCTGTCTCTTCGTTTACGCCTCGTCCTTCTGATTCCTAACCGACGCCTCTTCTACGCCTTCCCGGACTCCGACCCCAGCCTGCTCCCTCGACTATGCCTTCGCCTGCCGATTCTGTGCCTACGCCTCTACTACGCCTTCCGGACTCGAACCCCTGCCTGTTTACTCCGACTACGCCTAGGTCTAGCGCCAACCCTACCTGGGGCCCCCCATTGAATCTCCATCCTCCACAGTCAGCCCCTGCGTGACACTTTCAACACCTCCGAACCCGTTCTCCTGGGATTCAGGTCGTAATTTGATTCATTCGGATTGTATGCGAGAGCAGACTCGCTCGAAGATGTGCTATTACTACTCAATGCACATGAAAATGAAACACTGTTCCGTTTGCTTAGCAACTGAGGGGCTGTAGAGGGAAAAAAAGCAAAGCTTACCATGAAATCATCTGGAAATCTCGAAAATAGCCAACATCATAATCAATACACCTTCTCAGGTAGAGTTTTTGGCGGACGGATTTAAGGTAAAGGTGTATTATGAGTAGGAGTGTCTTCTGTAATTTGTTTGACTTGGTCATGCATCCACCGTGAACACCATCCTTCACCGATTCTGCCACACCTCAGTGTGATACAAAATCAAAAGCATTCATTTACAGTATGCCCATCGACCTGACCGATAGCCTTCTAGTGAGCACAAGCAGGCATATTAGTCGTTCATGAAGAGAATGAAAATCTGAATGTATAAGAGAGACGCATTTAAGACATGTCAGAAACGTTTGTGGTTCTAAATTAGCAAGCAGGTGCTTTATAAGGGTGAGTCCTGCTGGCTTGCTGCTGGGGGGAGGGGTTAATGAGGTTTGATTCACACCGCTTGCATTAGCTGATTGACTTGACATGACTTTATCTATGAGAAGATCCAGGAGAAAACAGCACGATGATTCAAGTTCACCCATAACCCATTTTTTGCAATGACAACTGAAAGAATGTGGCTACCTTTGGACATTCAGATATTCTTCTAAACAAACCTACAGCTATGTGTAAAATATACCCATTTCCGTCTTCCAATTTTTCTGAGTACATGAAGCACATTGAAGTTGTTACATTTTGTGACAAAAGTCATACACATCACAAAGGCTGAACATTAATAAATTGGCACAGGTCTTTTAATATGGTGGCACAGTAGTCAATAATAATACGGTTCAATAATAAAATTCCTCAATGAGACACGGTGTTTTCAGTTAGCATATCTGTTCTGTCAAGATAAACAGAGGATCAAGAATAACTTAACACTATTCATTTTAAAAATCCAGGAAATGTGTTTCTTATAATAAGTATTGGTCCTGTGGTCAGGTTTCATCAGTAGTTTCTCTATTTGTTCTTCTGAAACACTCGGGCCAGTGCAGCAGACACCCTGGTCAGCACAGATGACTTTGGTGGCTTCTCCCTGGGGTTTGGTTGAGGAGCAGAGACTCCTGAAATTACACAGTAGACTGGTTTGGCACATGAGCATTCAGGAATTTGTTTCGTTTAAACGAACGTCAGACCTGTGCACATAGATTTACTCACAGATGCCTCAAAAGTATCAAGCAGGAAATTACTGAATTAAACCCCCACAACTACAGTATGTGGCACTAAGAGCCATGGTCTCAATGTTCCTCCACAATTGAAAGTAAATCAAACTAAATTATATCCAACTGTACAGAGGCAGCTAGAGTCACTGACAGATTTAGTGAAGAGTATTTCATTCATCAGACACACTCTCCCAGCACTTACATAACACCTGTTATACAGCACTCAGCGCAAAGTGCATCTGAGGAAGGCCCCCTTTGAGATAAATCCTTTTTGGGGGTTCCCCTATGAAGTATTATTAGTTTGCCCCCAAAATATGTCTTTGTGCAATATCTTTTTTACAAAGAGCATTAGTTCTTTTAAGTTTGGACAGAGTTCGCCAGTCGTCCCCTGAATTTCAACAGGTTTGTTTTGGCTACTGTACTTTTTAATATTATAGCAGAATGATATATACATATAAAGAATAAGAAAACACTACTCTCATAAACGTTCATTACTTTCAAACACATTCAAGGGAACAGTGGGCACATACAGGCCAACCTGTTCAGAATTACTTCACATGCCTCTTTTCATATATTTGTTTTTAATTACCAGTTTCAAACCCTATAATGAAGAAAATGCACAGTTCCATTCAGTATTATGGTCAGACATTTCTATTTCAGAATCAGAGTGTGAGATAGAACTCACCTGGCATAGCACTGCGAGGCTGCCTCCATTGATATCTCTCTGGAGGGCCACTTTCCTTCTCGAAGATCTGTGTGCACACAGAGCAAACAGCGAATGGCCTTAGAACGTTTTCTCATCAAACTTTCGAATCCTACTGTCACTTTATCCCCCCATTAGCACTTAAAAGCAATGTTTGTTTCCATAGAAAATGCAACAGAACCACAACATATTATCATAACTTTTTGTTTACAATAACATATCCACTCTGGTCCTCTTCCACAGTGTGGAACAAAGTGTTAAGCCCTAGTCCACAGTAAAACTGTATGTATTGTATACTACACTCCCTTGAAATTCTGTCAATAAGAAAGAACTATCATGAATCAGATCCGTACCTTCTTCCTTACAGTTTGTGGGATGCTGTTCTTATCCCTCAGTTGCATGAGTTCCCTCTTTCCAGGGCTGTTGAAACTTGAGGATGTGCCCTGAATTTCATAGAAGTTACCACGGTTGGCGCTGGCATTGTGGCATGGTTCGCTCTGCATCACAGCTGAACTCAGCTGAGGTTTTTGGGGAATCAAAGGGAGAAAGCCAGAATTCATTCCCGGACTTCAATGTCTGTTGTGTTTTTTAGTTGCCACCAAAATTAGCCTAGACTCTCTTTGGGAACAGAAATCACATTTTGATGTGTGGATTGGTACTGCAGTTAAAAACAGATCAAAGTTAACAAATCATAGACATTCACAATTCCATTCCTAACTTAATGTAATAATTAGGGTAATAGGGTTAAATATATTTTTGTAAGTTTTGAATCTCTTATCAACATACCTCAAGAGGCTTTATTTCATGCTCAGAAGGCTGCCGAAGAGATTTGGATGTTGAAGTCTCAGCCTCCAGGGAGCGTTTCTTTTTTGCTTTAAGGGATTTCTTCTTTGCTGCATTAGCATGGTGTTGTTCGTCAACATCCAGCTCTCTTGGTACAATGGACTCCTTTGGCTTTTTAGAAGACTCAGGGGCAAACCTCTCTCTTTTCTCAGTTGAAACATTTCTCAGGTCAAAAGATTCACCCGCTGAGACCCTGTCATAGGCCATCTCTTTCATGCCACCCACCTTTTTCTTGGGGAAATCAGAAGAACTATTCATTGGAGAAGGTAGTATTTTGTTAGCACAAGGAGGAATCATGACTCTTATTTTCTCCATAGTGCGATTGCTGTCATCCTTAGGTTTGAGGGACTCCAGAGGTGAATTTGTGCCTTGCGCAAACTCTCCCTCCTGGATATGTCTAGCGACACAGCAGATAATTCTC